TACTCATTCCTGGGAGGAAAGGCTTCACCCTCAGAAGGAAAAATCGAGAGCAGGGTTGCTAGAATAGAGGAAAGACTGGGGTAGGTGGAGAGAGAATGATTAAAATGCCCAGAGGGACCCAGAAATGGCAGATCTCAGAACATGCTAGCAAAATTCTTTGAATACAGAGTGAAAATCCTTCACAGAGTGCATCTTTTTAGGTGTATGGGGTGATAACAGTCTGTGGGAGCTGCTGTGAAACACAGAAGCATGGAAAGGTTTGCAGAAGCAGAGCAAGTACTGGCTATACAAAGGTGCCAGGTTTTAAGGAAATAAACTCATTATTGTAGCAAAAGAGTCTTTGAATTTGTAAACCAGGAAAGCTGTTCTGAATCCTCTCCTACCCTTTACAAGGCCCTCCTGTTAATCATTCAGAAAAATCTACCATTTAAGTATGAGTAGCAAAAAGAAATGACTAAAACTTCTGTACAACTAATCAGGAGAGCCTAGTGCGGTGGTGCACACCCGTAATCTCAGCGACTTTGGAAGGTGAGGCAGGAGGACTGCAAGTTTGAGGCCAGCCTCAGCAACTTAGCGAGGCCCTGTTTCAAAATAAAAAATAAAAAGGACTGGAGATGGGCTCAGAGTTTAAATACCCTGGCTTCAATCCCCAATACCCCCCCCCCCCAAAAAAAAAGGGGGGGAGAAAAAAAAAAGAGCAATGAAACTTATCAGAAATGTAGTGCTAAAAGCAGATGGAAATTCAGTCCAAAATTCCATCATGAACAGAAAAACAAAACTTATCATCTTAGCAATGCAAGCAGGCCACACATCAGAAATACAACTACTCAGAGAAGAGACTACAGGTAACAGGAGACTATGAATGGGAGCAGGAGGCAAGAAACAGCAGAAAAATACAAAGCCATTTCAAAAAGAAACATTTTTTCCACATACTAGGCAAGCATTCTACCCCTGAGCTACATCGCCAGTACGTCTGTCCCTTCCTTCTTTTTTTTATCCATCTCATTTGTAGATGGACAAAATTCCTTTATTTTATTTGTTTATTGTTTTAACTATTTTTTAATATTTATTTTTTAGGTGTAGATGGACACAATACAATGCCTTTATTTATTTATTTATTTTTATGTGGTGCTGAGGATCAAACCTGGGTCCCACCTGTGCTAGGTGAGCCGCTCTACCTCTGAGCCACAATCCCAGCCTATTTGTTTATTTTTATGAGGTGCTGAGGATCGAACCCATTGCCTCGTGCATGCTAAGCTAACACTGCCACTGAACTACAGCCCCAGTCCTACATCCCACATTTTTAATAGGCAGTATTATCTCTGTCATTCAATTCAAAATTCAAAATATTTTAAATTCTACTATAATATTTTCTCTAAACAGATATTTTCTCTAAAGAGAGATATTTTCTCTAGACAGAAAATATTAAATGCATTTAAATTATTAAAATATTAAAAGCATTTAAATTATTTAGAATGGGATTTTATTTTATTGTGGTGCTGGGGGTCCAACTCAGAGCCTTACTCATGCTAGGCAAGCACTCTACCACTAAGCCACATCCTCAGTCTTGGAAGTAGATAACTTCAAAGATAGCTTATTTTATTTTATTATTATGTGTGTGTGTGTGTGTGTGCGCACGCATGCACATGCTCACTGGCCCTGCTAGAGACTGAACCCAGGGCTGCTCTACCACCTTTTTTATTTTATTTTTTTTTATCCTGAGGGCATTGCTAAATTGTCCATATAGGCCTTAAATTTTTTGATTTTCTAGCCTCAGCCTCCTGAGTCAATGGGATGACAGCTGAATTTTGAAATTTAAAAACCTACATGAATTGTGCATGGTAGCCCATGCCTATCTTCCCAATGACTTAGGAGGTTAAGGCAGGAGGATCACAAGTTCATGGCCAGCCCCAGCAACTTAGTGAGACTCTGTATCAAAATAGAAAATAAAAAAGGCTGGGATGTGACTCAGTTGTAGAGAAGTGATTTCAATCCCTAGTTCCCCTCCAAAAAGAATTAGAAATGTGTTTTTAAATTTTCCTGACATGTGCCAAGCAGCCTGGTAGAGTCAAGGATGCCTTCTAAGTGGAGGGGCAAAGGGCCCCAGATGGAAGAGATGAGTGTCTCACTGCTGGCCTTGTTCACTCTCTTAACAAGGAGAAATGGGGGAGAAGGAGAGCAAGGAAGATAGGGTCAGAGAAAGTGTGCTAATGAGGAGGGATGGAAGGAAAAACATGGAGAAAGATGGGGAAGCAAAAAGAGGTGTGGAGAGAGATGGGGACTGTGTATGTGTGTGTGAGAGAGAGAGGGGGGGAGAGAGATGGAGGCAGATGCGGGGTGTGGACAGAAAGATGGAGAAGAAACAAGTGATATGAATAAAGGTGGTGAGACAGAAAGAGACATGAGAAATGAGGGAGAGATAAGAATAGGGTGTTTGGCCCACAGAAGTCACTTATTGAAAGCATCACTAAGCCATATGCAATGGCACACACCTATTGTTTTAGCTATTTGAAAGGAGTTTAAGGTCAGTCTATCACAGAGCAAGGCTATCTCTCAAAAAAAAAAAAATAGAAGTAAATATAAATGAACATATCAATAAAAGTGTTGCTGAATAAATGAATGGACTTTGTTGCTCAGCAAAGAAGGAGTGGAAAGACTACCGAGCAGAATGCACATTATTTATCAGAAAAAAAAATTATACTGGTTTCATCCAAGATGACAAAGGCCTTAACCAGCAGTGGGAATGAAGAGGTGGGGAAAGACACCTGATATGTTTCAGAGGCAGCATGGACAGGACTTGAAGATTGTTTGGATGGAGGAACTGAGGGAGAAGGCATAGTAGGATCAATTCCAGGTTTGGGACCTTAAATGCCTGGGTGGATAGCTTCCACTCATTGAGACAGGAATTTTAGGAGGCTGACATGATTTGGGTAGACACTGATGATTTTGAAATGCCTATCGAACATTTAGGAGGACAGATAAATATTCTGGGCTTAGTCTCAAGAAAGACGCTGAAGATAGAAATATAGATTGGGGACTCATCAGAGAATAAGCAGCAATTAAAACTGTGGCTATGGATCCTTTTATGATTCATAAATATGATGGTTGGGTTTTCACACTATTGTGTGAGATGTGCTATTCTGAAATCCTATTATGATATTGGCACATGAACCACCTGATGTAAAATAGAAACTTTCTGTGAACCCATTGCATTTGCTCCAAATTTGTTGAATGAAAATGGGAGAAACAATACAAAAGTTCTGCAACAGGAGGATGGTGTGAAGGTACAGGAGTGTGTGTAAGGTACAGGAATTTGGGGGCTTCCCTGGTGACAAGCTCTAAGATATAAGTCATATAGAGTCAAGCTGATGGTTGGAGTAGAGGAAGTGAAGCAACTGTGAAGTTAAGGATAAATCAATGGTTGCTTCTGGGAGGGGATATGGATTGACCAGAAAGGGGAATGGGGGATTTGCTGGGCTTTTGGGAACTGCAGCGTGGTTTACATGGGCATATATATTTGTCAAGGGTCATCAAACTCTTCACTTAAATCTATGCTATATCAATGTTAAAAATGTCATTTTTGTGGGCATTAAGTCCACTAATAGGAAGATGAAAAGTCAGGTGAAGCTCTTTAAAAAATTTTTTTTGATACTGGGAATTGAACCCAGGGGTGCTTTACCACTGAATCACATCCCCAGGCCCTCCCCACATTTTTTATACTGGGGATTGAACTCAGAGGCTCACTGAGACACATTCCCAGCCCTAGTTTGTATTTTATTTAGAGACACAGTCTCACTAAGTTGCTCAGCGCTCTGAGGTTGCTAAGGTGAGCTTTGAATTCTCGATCCTCCAGCCTCAGCCTCCAGAGCTGCTGGGATTACAGGTGTGCACCACCTCACAAGGCTCAAGTGCAACTCTTTATGAATGTGAGGGAGTTCTGCAATAGGAGGATGGTGTGAAGATACAGGAGTGTGTGTAAAGTACAGGAATATGGGGGGACTCAGGCCTGAGGGATGCTGACAGCCAAAAGGCAAGACCGAAAGTGGTAGAATCAGATGCTGTGAACCTTGAAGAGAAGCTGTTTTCAGGCGTAGAAAGTGTGACAATCTGAGAGCCATTCATTAGCTGACAATCATTGACAGGAACTTAGCCAGAGGAAATTCACCCCTGCCCATCCTCCAACCAGGCCACAGCTGTTTTTTCTTTCTTTCTTTCTTTCTTTTTTGCCAGGAAAGTACTCTACCACTAAGTCAGATCTCAGCAAGAGTTTTCTTTTGAAAAATTCCATCCTTGTGTCCACCAAGCGGATTAACCTAGTAGTTCCCATCCTGCAGGTTACACTTCCCTACAAGTTCTCAGAGTTATTTGAAGGGGTCCTCAAATCCTTACACATAACGGGATTTATTCTAAATGAAATAAAGAAAAAAACCCCTAAGTACTGTATTTAGAATCCACAGCATTCCAAGCTATGATGAATGGTTTGGAGGTCTTGGGTAGAGAGAAGGACATCCTTGAGTTCAGTCTCAGCAATAACTCTGTTCACCTTATCCCAGGACTGGGGAAATCTGAATCACTGTACACTGAACATCTGATGCAGAGGGATCTGGGAGTTTACAGGAGAGACTCCCATTTTACAGATATGTAAGTAGTGGAACTGGGACTCCAACTTAGCCTGACTCGGCTTCTAAGCCACATGGACCTGGGACATGGAATACTTCCACATGTGAGTATCTGGTGGCCCATTCCATGTCCCCACTAGTGTTGACCTTGCCTTGCTCCCCAAACTGTGGCTTTCTCACAGTTGAAGTAGAAGAGATAATTTTCTCCACATTGACTTTTTGGGGTGGGTTTGGGGGTTGATAGAAGGAGACAAAGTAAGGGACAGGGAAGAAACTGGAAATGAGGCCCAGAGGAGTAAAACCACCATGAAGTCTCACGTCTTTCATGCCCTGTGACCAGCAGGGGGCAGCTCTTGCCTTGCTAAGGCATCTCAGTCCGACATGGTCCAGTTAGATGCCCTGGGAGGTAGCTTTTCCATTGCTGAACAATGACTGACTCAATACTTCTCAGACTTTGTGGCATGTGTGGTTGTCCAGGTGGCTCAGGGAGGTTAAACTATGTGTTCAAGATTATGTTACTAGTTTGTGAGGGAGCTGGCATTTGAACCCAGCCTGTTCCAAGCCAGCATTTTTACCCCTGAGGTTACTGCTTCTCTAAAAGAAATCTCTGAGTTGCAGTGATAGGTGGCAACATATCTAAGAACTTATTTCAAAATAGAACTATAAATAGGGGCTGTGGGTATAGCTCAGTTGGTAAGAGTGCTTGACTCACATGTACGAGGCCCTGGGTTCAATCCCCAGCACCAATCAATCAATCAATCAATACATGCTTACAGTTTAAAAAGGTTCCACCTGGTATATTACATGTAATGCTTGTTTTCTGTATGCTGTGTTATGTGCAGTATACATAACCAGGTGTGTGGCATACTCTTGTACTAATCCCTATATAAACTCAAAGTTATGTGTAATGTGATGTGTCTTTCATTTGTGTCTGTAAAATACAGAGTGGATTTCCCAGTGGGTAAGCCTGTATAGAAGGCAGATAAACAGACCTCCAGTAGGAGTGGATTCCTGTAATGGAGATCTGAATATGAATGAGTCCAAACTCCATCAGCAGCACTCACTCCTCTGCCAAACCACCCAATCAACACTATCAGAGTAAAACAGGCTATGTAAATGTAGCTTCTCCACAAAGTCCCTGGTGCCCGCCTCCTATCATCAATCAGCTTGCTTCTCTAATCCTCTCATTTATAGAAATTCTAGGGCAGTCCTGGGGGGAAGGGGGAGGGCCAGAGTTCAGGGAAGGAATTGGGGGCAACGATGGGCTTGGGCAAACTTGAGCAAGGGGGAGGGGAAGGAGGTTAGCTTTGGGGCCCAGTAGGGCTGCTGGAGGCTTATTCTGAGTAAAGGGTTGGTCTTCTTGAACCTCAGAAGCAGAGGGAACCACATCCTGGTCTCACCCACCCTTGGGCTACCAGCCATCTAAGCTCCACCCTGCTCCTTGCATGTGGGCCATGTGCCCCACCTCCCAGAGTTCCAGACATCTTCAGCAGCAGCATCTTCTTTCCTCAGGGAGGCATGCATTTGGTACCCAAGGTCCCAGGCAGTCAGGTCCTTAGCAAGTGATGCGTGAGTTCTGTTTGTCCTAAAAAGCTTTCTACCCCCCATCTGGTGACCAAAGATCTGACCACAAGTGATTGAGGACCTCCACCCAGGTTCTCCTCAACAACTGTAGCATCCTTCAACATGGCCTAGACGCTATTGCTCATCTTTATTATGGTCTATCCAAATGACAGGGTATTTGCTCAGGACCCTTAGGGGTGTGGGGCTGGGAGGAGGAGGCTAGGGGGAGGCTGGACTTAGATGCCCTAGGGGAGCAAGCTTGGTAGGGCTGAACCTTGTGCCCTGAGGGGAGCTGTGGGCACTTCCCCTCACCTCTGTTAGTTGATGCCAGTAGACAGTAGGTTCACAGCCCCTCTAGGTCTCTGGCATACTGCAAGTGTTATTCTAAATTTCCATGCCAGAGACCTTTTCTTCTCAGTTACCTTCCTAGTAAGATAAAGTTGAAAGAACCAGTAAGAACGGCTGCAAGGAAAGAAGGAAGAAAAGGACCAGAATTTTGGTTTATCTTTTTTGTAGGATTTTCATTTGATGTTTAAGAAGTGTATTAATCTAGGCTTATTAGCTAGGATCTGGATATATAATTAGGAGTTCAGGAGTCCTAATTAAGTCTAACATACTTTTTTTTAGTGAAACCTATTTTAATTAACAGAGATTGCTTAACTATCAGGCATATTAGTTAACTAAATACAGGGCTTCTTAGGTGTAGATTCCATTCTCAGCTTCAGCCACCTGGGAACCTAAGGCAAATTCTTAGGCCTCTGTCCAGACTCTAGGGGCCAACCAAGGAATCTGTTTCAACAAAGACTTTGGCGTGTGTGTGTGTGCGTTGTAGTCCCAATTACTCAGGAGGCTGAATGGGGAGGATCCCTTGAGCCCAGGGATTTGAGGCCAGCCTAGGCAATAAAGTGAAATTCAGCTCAAGGGGGAAAAAAAAAAGTACAAACAGGTAATTTAGGGGAATTCCCATACACAGTCAGGTTTGAGAATCACTGAAATAGAATGATGGGGGAAATTTTTCCCTAATTAGATAATTTAACTGGAGATTTTAATAATTGATTTAATTAATCAATATGGACAAGTTCAATGAGGATTTCAACCAATCTCAGCTATGTCTTCACCTGGAAATTTAATTAGTTAATGCTCTAACAAAAAACATAGCAAAGATGGTTTACTATTATGGAATGTTATTAGTACTAAAGTAATTCCTGAAATAATATCATGATGATATTAGTTAGCTAGGCAGCCACATTCAAAACTGAGTTGCAATTGCACCATGGTAGCATAAATTCAGCAAGACAAGTCCTTTGTGAAGGCAGTTGGAGAGGGTGAGGGTGAGAATTGGAATGGGAAAGACTTTGAAAAATGATTTAATGAACAATGTTAAGAAATTAAATTAGCGGGGTGCGGTGGTGCACACCTGAAATCCCAGCAGCTCCGGAGGTGAAGGCAGGAGGATCACAAGTTCAAAGCCAGCCTCAGCAATTTAGCAAGGTGCTAAGCAACTCAGTGAGACCCTGTCTCTAAATAAAATACAAAATAGGTCTGGGGGTGTGGTTCAGTGGACGAGTGCCCCTGAGTTCAATCCCTGGTACCCCTGCCCCCTAAAAAAGGAATTAGTAAACTAGTAAAGAGGGAAAGATTTAATGAGACACCCAAAGCATGTGTCTGTGTGCCTTACAAAGAGGGACAGTTGGGATATTCACTCCAAGCTCTTTTCTCTTGGAGAAACTAGAGAGGCATCTCTGGATTTTCTCTCTGTCCCCAGGATCCTGTATTCTCTGGGTGTTCTCTGCAGCCCTCCCGCCCTGCTCCTTCAATGCCAGCAGAGGGAGACCAGCCATTGGCTCTGTCACATGGTACCAAGACAAGGTGGCCCCTGCGAAGGAAGTGAAGAACAGAACCCCACAGTTCAGGGACCGCCTGGTTCCCCTTTCTTTTTCCCAATTCCTCTGTGACCACCAGGCTGAGCTGCACATCTAGGACACCAAGGCCAAGATGCTGGTGTCTATGTGTGCAGGGTGGAGGTGCTGGGCCTGGATGTTGGCACAGGCAATAGGACTCAGCTGCTGGCAGAGACAATACGGCATGGGGAGGCAGGACCTCCTTGACTGGAATGTCCCTGGAAATCAGGAATCCTACCCCTGCCCTTGTTAACTAAGCCCCTTCCTCTCCACTGCCCTCATGCAGGACCTCATGGGCTAAAGATAAGCACAGTGTTCCTCCTTCAGGCTGGATTCTATGCCTTTGGTTTTCTCTCCATGGCAGCACCCTCTCTTACCAGAGCAAATGTGAGTATGGAGCCTGGAGCAATTATGGAGGGATAGGAGGGGCAGTAAGAACTGGAGGAGGAAAGGACATACGTTATGAAGAGGAGAGCTTCAGTGTTGGGGCACTGAATGGCTCCTTTCATCTCTCCCACCAGGCCACTATCACATGGGGACATGCTGCCATTCCTTGGGTGGCCTCTGAGGAATGATTCCAGATCCTAGTGATCTCTGACCCTTTTCAAGAGACCCCAATATATCCTTCTCTGCCCCATAACTACCTCCTCCTTTAGAGTCTTGTATATTTCCTTCTTAATTTTCCAGATGCCCAAATCTGGTCCCCCTGGTTCTCAACTCTCTTCCCCTTAGGTCTGACCTGGACAGGTCCAAGGAGAGATCTCCCTGCAATAGGGCCTAGAGGTCCCTCCCAGCATTATCTGGAGCTTGTCCCAGCATTATCTGGAGTCTCAGCCAGGGAGGCTGAGACTGTGGCTCCTGAGAAATGGAGATTATCAAATTAATTATTCCTACTTGTCAATTGCTGATTTCAGCCAGACCCACAGACAATTTTCTGCTCCCAGGGAAGTTCAGTTCCTTAATACCTTTTTTTACCCAATATTTATGACTTGACCCCAAAAAGAGTGGGAGCGAGCTACTTAAATCTGGATTGTTCTCATTTGGAATAGTGGTTCAAGATGGATTGAGAGGCCTGAGACACAGAAGTGGCAAGATCATGGTCTTTACTGAGTGAACCATAGGATGATCCTGACCACCCGCCTGGGGTGAGGGAGGTGTCTAGGGGTACTCAGGTGGGTTTGTTCTTGGCAATGCAGGCGTAGTCAGTGCTGTGGTCCTCCTTCATGCCTTCTGCTTCTCCTTCGACCTGATCACTGCCCAATATGGGTAACCTTTGCAGAGAGGCATAGTGGAGCTCTTGGTCTGGAAGGTGGTCCTGGCCAGGTAGGAGATGCTGGTGGAAGGGTGCTGGGAGCAGCACCTTCAGATCCTTCCCTGAGTACTGCCCTCAGCTCCCATCTTTCTTACCTCACTGATGCCTCAGTTTTCCTTTTTTTCTCTGAAGCTTCCCTCTTCCTCTCATTCTCCCTGTCTCCATCTTTCTCTCTCTGCTGACCTACGCTCCTATTCTTTTTTTGGTGCTGGGGATCAAACCCAGGGCCTTGTACGTGCAAGGCGAGCACTGAGCTATATCCCCGGCCCTGCTGTTCTTTTCTATTATTGCTGTTTCTCTTTGTGTCTCTCCATCTCTTGCTCCCCGCTGCCACCCCCCCTCCACCCATGCACACTTTTATTCCTACTCTCTTACTTTTTCCTTTTCTCTCATTTTCTGTCTCTCTCTTAATTTCTCTCATTTTTCATCTCTTTGTCTCTCTCATTCCATTCTCTTTCAATCTTATTTTCTCTGATCTTCATACCATATCTTTTTCTCTCTTCTTCTCAATTTCTTCTCTCTTTTTGCCTTTCTCTGACTTTCTCATGTTTCCACTGTCTCCCCTCTTTACTCTTGGCCCCCACCCCTCACATCAGCCCCCTGCACCCCCTTATCCCCCAACCCTGCTTGGGCTCTCTCTGACCCTCCCCTCCCTGCCCCAGACTCACCCATCTTCTCTCCAATCTTTTCACTGGAAGAAAAGAAGCAACTCAGCAAAGCCTTCCTCACTAGCTCTGCACCATCCCAGCAGTAGTTTCCTCACTTATTGATTCTGGTGGTTTCCAGGGACAAAGCCCTGCCCCCCACTTTTTCTTTTCTGCATTGCTGGGGATAGAACCCAGGGTCTTGTACATAGGAAACAAATGCTTTATCACTAAGCTACATCCCCAGCTCAGTGCTGGCCCTTTGCATATTCTTCTCTCACCTTTCCCACCCAACTCCCACCAGTCAGGACCTGTCAGGATTGATGGAGACTTTGGCCTCAGCAGTAGGAAGGATGTGGGTTGGCACTGCTATAGGTGACTGAGGAAATGAAGCTAGGGCTCACCTCTCCGACGGAGCAGACAGAGGCAGGTGAACAGAGTGACCACAAGCAAGAGCAGGAGCCCTCCCAGGCCCAACACCCCATAGTGGAAGAAAGGGCACCCTGTAGGGAAGAGGGGTAAGTATTAGAGGGTCTATTTCTCTTTTCAGCTTTCACATCCTCCTGGTTGGTTGTGGGCATCTCAATTTCCCTATCAGTTTTAGAGGCGGAAAAATATACTCTTAAAGATTTTTCACCCTAGACCTCATTATCTCACTTCCTACCAGAGTTATGCATCCCTTATCAGTTACCTTGCCTCATATCTGGGACCGCTCACCCCTGTGGCTTCCCACCACAGTCCCTGCTAATCCAGGACCTCTGTGGGGTCTCTTTCCCACCCACACCTGTGGTCCTTGGAAGCCTTGATCACCTACCATAAACCATCCATATCTCTTTTCACCCATTACTCCCTGCACACCCACAACCCTCCCTGTATAGAAGAGAAGGGCCCATTACTCACAGCTGAATGAACACATTAGGTTGAGGACTGAGAACTGGCCTGGAGATCAAGAAGCCTAGCCAGTGTTCTGACAGTCTTAATGACCTGGGCTAGTCACGTGTCTCAAGTTCCTTATCTGTGAAACAAGGGGCCCTGTGTTACAATCTTTTCCCTAGCTGAGGAGCCTCACCTATGTCCTAACCCTGAGATGGGCATTTTCCACTTGTTCCCACAGATTCTGAGAGTAGAGGGTAATATAGTATCCATTTATTTCCCAGGTCTAAGGAGTCTGAGTCTCAAGCATGGACTTTTACAGAGATATCTAGTCAGAAGTGGGTAGAGCTGGGGTTTGAGTTCTAGCCAACTCCAGAGCCCCCCACCTCCCTTCCCTCTGACCAAGGCTAGCCAGGTGGTTTAGAGGGGCCTCTCCAGCACTGGGTAGTTCTAGGAACTGGTGAAAGGGATGATGGAGGGAGAGGAGCCTGGAACTAGAGTGGGTGTGGGGGCTGTAGAAAAGTAGAGAGAAAAGTGTCCAGAGCCTCTCAGCTACTGTGGCCCAGTAGAACAGGTCTACTTGGCTGATACGGTGAACTGGGGCGTGGAAGAATTTCTGGGGCCCACAACTTCCCCTCAGGCACTTCCTGCACTCCAACCACTGGTTCCTGTTTGAGGGCAAAGAGGGGACTACTGACTTCACACCAAAGCCAGATGTACTGACTATGGTCTAAAACCAAGACTCTCCTGGGTTTAAGAGGAATTAGTTAGGGTGCGTGTGGGAAACAGAAGCCTGAGATGGCCATGAGGATGGTGGGAACAGAAATGGATTGTTTTTCATTTCCTTGGTCATCAGAGACTCAGGCTGGACAGAGGATTTCTTTAGGGCCTAGGGAATATCAAATACATGGCTTCTGACTCCCTTCTTCTTAACCTTACCTCACTCTGGGGTGTGGCCATCCTTACCCTAACCCCACAATTTCCCGGATGAGGGTCTCTATCTATTTCCAGCTTACCCTGAAGGGTGGATACATTGGCTAGAGACCCCTAGGTAGAAAGGAGAGTGGCCATCTCAGACATTCCTGCCCCTTCTCTGGTCTTAACCACCCCAACACAACTTTCCCAGCATTATTAGGAGAGGAAGTACATCTCTGAGGTCTAGGATTACAACATCTTTCCTTCAAGGTTCCCAGGCTGCGGGCAGTGAATAGGTCCCTCTCAACTCCAGTCATACTATTGATTATGCTAGTAGTCAGTGAATGTCCCCCTTCTCTAGAGGCCTTACCTGATTAACTTGTTCCCAGTTACCTTTCACTCTGCATCTGCTGAGAGCTCATGATCTCAGTTTATGCATGAGAACACACACAGCCTGGCTTCTACATTGGACAGAACTCTGATGACTTTAGGGTGACTCCTGGTCTTCTATATCTACAGCCAAGAATCCAGCAGGGTGCTTGGCTGGTTGATTAATAAGCAGGACAATCAGAGGTAGCCATACTGCTAATAGATGAAGGACAAAAAGTTGACAAGTTGTTGTCATAGGAGGTGGGGGTAATCCAGGAAGACTTCCTGCAGGAGGCAACATTCTGGTGCTGAGCACAGAACTAAGGGCAGTGATCCAAAACCCTCTGGATAGAGACCTGGGCAAAGGCCCCTTCATGATACTGTGATGGAGAGGGTGAAGGATGATGGAGGATTGTACTCCTGGCCTTTGGGAAAGGTAAAGACTATGAAGCTTAAGTGAAGGCAAGAGGTGAGGAAGAGATCTGGTGCTTGGGTTTATATGTATTTGCATTTTGTTTTTCAAATTCAGGAACTTTGTAATTGGACATGGTGCATGCCTGAAACCCCTGCCACTCAGGAGGCTAAGGCAGCAGGATCACAAGTTTAAGGTCAGCCCCAGTAACTTAGCAAGATCTTATCTCAAAAACAAACAAACAAACAAACAAACAACTAGGTGTGTAGCTCAGTGGTAAAGCACCCCTGGGTTAAATCCCCAGTACTGCCAGAAAAAAAAAAAAAAAAAAGACTGTCTCAAAATGAAGTAAAAAGGGCTGGGATGTAAGCATGTATAAGACCTTAGGTTCAATCTCCAGTACCACAAAAAAAAAAATAAAATAAAAATTCAGGAACTTTCTGTTACTTCTTACCACCACACCATCCTTAATGTTCCCCCTGCAGAACAATAGGACAATATTCAGGTATGTTTGTTTATTTTATATATTTTTTTAAAGTTCAAATGAAGAGAAAATTTGAAAGAATTATACAGCAAATATATCCTTACCACCCAGATTCTACAATTAAGAGTTTTCTATATTTTCTTTCATTCTTTATTTTTGGTAATAGGGATTAAAACCAGGGGCACTTAAAAACAGAGTCACATCCCTAGCCATCTTTATTTATTTATTTATTTATTTTTAAAACTTGGTTTTCTTTTTTTTTTTTAAACAGAGAGAGAGAATTTTTTTTTTAATATTTATTTTTTAGTTCTCGGCAGACACAACATCTTTGTTTGTATGTGGTGCTGAGGATCGAACCTGGGTGCACGCATGCCAGACGAGCGTGCTACCGCTTGAGCCACATCCCCAGCCCTTATTTTTTTATTTTGAGACAGTGTCTTGCCAAATTGCTGAAGTTGGCTTTGAACTTGGGATCCTCCTGCCTCAGCCTCCTGAATCACTGGGATTACCGATGTGTGCCATTGCATCTGGCCTGTATTTTTTTTTAAATACTTATTTTTTAGGTGTAGAGGGACACAACACAATGCCTTTATTTTTATATGGTGCTGAGGATCGAACCTG